TCCTTGGTCTCGCACTATTCCTTGGCTTGAGAATAGCATGATGCAGGTGATGAAAAGTAAATGCTATGTGTTAACAATTCTATAGACGACAACAGTGTAGCTCTAAGACTAGTCAGAGGACTCCTGGAGAAAGTCCAATCTCATATAGTCGGGTGCTTCTGTGTTCCTGGTGAAGTATGAGAACAAAAGTATGAGTATGTAGCATGAGAACCCCTCACTGATATTGCCACAGTCAAGGCGGAACTGAACTATTAGGAGGTTTATCGCAACGCTTTCGAAATGAACCCAAGAAAGACAAAGTCTACCTTTTCAAGACGCTTCGACCCAACATTGCCAAAGAAACTCATGAAAACATGGAGTTACTGCTCGCAGTTCGCTAACCACGCCGTTAGTCCTAATCATGCTCCTACGGACTATCACCCATGATTTTCTCTAACACTCTAACCTCGGAAGAAACTGCGCTAACCATAACTGCTTTGATCTCTAAACCGGCATCCGATCTTTCTAAGATCACAATTCCAAATAAAGTTGAACAACTGCCAAGAGATATATTAAAGAAATGGGAAAGAAGACGAATTCGAAAAATGGCTAGGGTGGTCCGATCATGGACCACCCTGATAGTGTGACCCTTAGGGCCCTCACGACGTCAACAACTTGACCGCCACTCTTTGTTGTATGCAGTGCATACGCGACTTTTTACAGTAACTTTCTATTGTACGAGTTGTTTTGAGTTGTTCCTGTCGTTAGCGCGACTTGATCAGAAAGTGGTCGACACGACGAACTCTCAGAATTTCTTGTATGGTCTAACCCTTTTGACATTCGCACCTTTTTTGCTGCCATCAAAGGAGAGGGAGGTGCAGAGAAAATTGAATGGCCCAGGGATCATATGGCGAAGGCCCCGAAAAGCATTTGATATCGCGTCCAATCTTTGACACTCTTAGTCTATCTGATAGCCACGTGCGTGTATCTAGTACGCGCAAAAACATGCTCCACCCTACTTCTTGCGATACTGAAGTGCAGTTCTCGCCTGTGGGTGCGCCACAGCACTGGGATGCACTTTCAATACAGAAAGGGCCCACCTCCCACGTTGCCCTACACAATCGGCCATGTTACGTTGGAGGTACATTCGAATTTCTAGCAAAACAATCCCCTCAAAGAAGTAAGCAGTACTTGCGGTGCAGTTCTGGTAGTGTACTTGACCTTACGTAGGGTAAGACCTGTAGAGATCGTCGTTGCTGCTTTGACTTATTCAAATGACTATCATAGATTCCATTCTGGGAACTCTGTTTGTAGAAGTATTCATATTAATTTTGTATTGGACAGTGATCACAATCCATCCATCTAGCTATATTTTCCTTCCTTTAAACAACTGTTACTGGACGTATTTGTGAATTGGAAAAGTGAAGTAAAGAGATGAAAAAAAACGAAAAGGTAAAGCGATGGAATTCACTCACCTGGATGAGGAGTGGCCAGAGAAAGCACGGTCGTGGTCGAGAAACGAAGGCGAATGGCAACGAGACCGTCAGCGAGATGATGTGCGTCACGCACCACACCAGCCGTCCGAATCCGCCGTCCAAATACTCAGCCACACAACCACGAATTCCCCACAGTGAATGAAATAGACCGATGTCGAATATAACAGCGTCGGCCGCTTCCAACGGCAGTGACCCTTCCAAGAAGTCGCAGTGAAGAATCTGAAGGTGTGACATGTTAGACGATGTCGGACGTACTTCACATGAAGAAAAACTCTCTTCTATAGTTTGTTTGCCTCATCCATGGTAATGGCAGCGCCTATTTTACACCCTAATGGAGAAGTTGACTTTGCGCCACTTCTCCATTTAATGGGCTCAATCCGTGATGCGAGCAACTGCGCTGAAGATCCCAGGGGAGCTATGGAATATGTCGGTTCTCTGTCATCGAGCAAGGTGGTCTTCTGAAGCTCTGTGGGTAATATCTCGCTAACGCTTTAGTTTGGCAGGGATCGCGAGAACTTTATTTGGGAAGGATTTTCCTGCGTAATTCAGCTTTTTACACCCTTTTTGTTGCAAAATTCGATGAGGTCCAATGAGTTGTCCAGCATGAAAAGGATGAGCCAAGTTACTTGGTGACCGGCTATTTGAGACGAGTGTAAATCCTCTTAGTTTCCGACTGGTTCTGAGGAACAAGTGCGCTCTCAAATGTCTGTATTTCTCTAAATGGGAGGCACGTGCGACTCATACTGAGGTGAATTGATCAAAGGCATAATCAATTTAATCAGAACATCAGAGAGCGTTGTGAAGCGAAGATGGAGTGGTACTCAGAAAACGCCTGGCCAGTGGATCAAACCTCGGTGTGAATTTTGCTTAGTTCAGCTGATCCGTGTATTCTCCCAGGCTGGGTCTGGGAGGATAGATGCACTAAATTGCATTGCTTGCTTCTCAAAGGTCGTTGCATGGGCCACCGCTTCGGTTACAACTACGATTCGGTGCAAATGTAGAGCGCGCTGCGTATCCTTGAGGAAGATTTTGAAACCCAGAGAGTTGTTGATTTATGAGATGACATTACTCTGTATGGACATGCAGAAAATCCTTTTTTGCCCGAATCCTGCAAACTTCCAGCGAAGGAAAACCACCAGTCGAACTGCTTGCGGAGCTTCAAGCTCATGGCCAGCTATTTTTACAAATTGGTCGTAAGGGCGTCATAAGGACTTCCATAGCTTATGGCAAGGCTTCAGAAAAATGTGACTTAGGGGATTAATCGACTATTTTGGCTTCTCCTAGTCCTAGAGATGCAGAGCCTAACTTCGATACTCTACAGCACAGAGCCAAAAAAGGTAGAAAAATATCTATGAGGTCAGCGTTGATTACATGTGGAAGACAACAAATTGTAGCTGGCAAAAGTGATGTTTCCTCCCCAACTAGGTAAACGAGTCTCTCCACCTTGTACGAATAGCTGTCCACTTTTCTTTCTATTTGATCCCCTAATCTCGCAAGTTCCCTTCTCTTCATCTTCGAAAGGAGTTTGAAGTGTTGCACTTTTCAATTGTCCTATAGTGTCACCTCAAGGGCATCTAATCTGGCGAGTTTAAAAAACGTCATTCAAATTAAATGTTACATGACAAATAGCATGCTTTTTAGTCCACATGGAAAGAGACCAAAAAAGTAGGCAGGGTCAAAATTAGCAGCACCTGCACGGTTTTTCGACATGCCCCGGTTGTGCATAATTACTCATCTTTCGCGTATAACTGAAGGAAAGCGATGTGCTCCCGAAAAAAACGTGGATTATGTCGGAAATGGGCGGGTCTCTCAGTGTACGTATGCGTGCGGCGTTAATGAGCCGGTGTTTGACTGAGGCATTGAAAAGGTCGCCGATCATCCCACGCCCATGACACCGACGCTGAATGACGGGAACGAATTGAATTTAGAGCGCATAGCGGTCAAAAGTTGCATTTGAAACGATTGGCTCGGGGCGGAACCATGGAAAACAGATGTCCGTCGTCTCGATTACCTGGTGGTAGTGAATAAACGAGTGACAGTGCTGAGCGACACCCCATATACAGACGAGCGCCTGCAATAGACCAATCCACAGACAGATTTGTGAGTTGAGAAAACGATGACCGACTAGTTTCGTCCACTCATCACGCACTGTCACCAGGCCCATCAATGGGGGGCAGGTGAGCGCAGGCCGCCGAGCAGTAGCAGCTGCTGGATGAGGCGGTGGCGACGACTGAAGCTGGACTAGTGGACGGAGTCGAGAGGTTGCGCAGCGGGACCTCTGAGTCGGCGGTGACGGCGAAGAGGGTCGCGTTGGTGGCTGCTGACGCCTCGCCTCCTCCTCGTCCTCCGCCAGACGTCTTCCAGCTCCTCCCGCGAATCTTTCATCTATGTACACGGCTGTCCATAACTCCCCAGAGACACAATAGAATTTATCTTATCACACATTCGCACACAGCGCGCGCCCACACATGGTGCAGAAGATATACAACAAACACGATGAATGAATGCAACTGATTCCATCAAGAAAACAGAAAAAAAAACATGAAACGCGTAAAATCGATAGACAGAGAAAAAGATCGGCAAATTGAGACTCATATTATTAACAATTATGTGTGTATATTTAGAGCACAGTCAGCTGGAGTCGATGACACTGGCAGATGGGAAACTGTGCGCCCTGCGCGAAATTACTTGCGGCAGTATTTGGAAGCTTCACGTCTTCGGTCACCTCATTGTTGCATGCGGAGAAGTGGCAGATAGCACTGACAACCAGGGTGTCTCCTAGATTTGGTCACTTTATACCTCCCAAGGATTTAGTTGAGATCGGGAGCGGCTTACTTTCGTCTATATGGGCCTTGTTCCGATTTCCGCTCAATTACTTGAACGTAGACAAAAGCGGGTCTTGAGATATTGTGGGATAAAAAACTGCAAAGTGTAAAATGCATGAAAAGCCGATTGGGACCTGGAGAGCGGAAACATATTAGCTCCTAATCATTAGGCGGGAATCGGAACCGTACCCTCTGTTGAAACAGAAACGGTAACCCAACTCATCTCTGGGAGCGCAGAGATGACCTACTGCTTTATTTTTGAAAGACTCGCGAGTTTCGACTGCTTACCCTTATTGTCTTACTGTGGTATTTCACCCATGGGAAATTACAGCTGGGCCAAAGCTGACAGTGTCATCGAATCCAACTGAAAAGATATGTACATCGAATGACTATCGACCGATTCAACTCGAATCACTCCATTGGCTCCGTCTTCACCAGAGTGGCTGGGGGATGGAGTTGATCGTAAGTCATTGAAAGCAGATTGTGTTCAGTGGGTGTGTCGAGCTGCTGCTGTTCGTTATTGCAGAGTTCATTGAGCACTGGCAGTTGGGTGTTGAGCATTTGAAAACCGGGTGCAATCAGCGACAAGCTGGACGGCGTCGTCGTCGGCAACAGTTGTGACGCCAAAGAGGCCATCGCCAACTGGCTGGCCTCGGTGGCAGCAGTAGCGGGCGTAGTTTGCGATTCCCCGCTGGTACTGCTAGCAGTTCCACCGCTGAAGGGCGCAGTGAGACTTTGACTGGCTGCCAGCAGATGTGATGGCCAATGTTGCTATCGGTAGTGCTTGAGAGTACGGCGTCTCCACTGACGAGGTGTCGGCGGTGCTGGTCGCAGTCGCAGCGGCCAGTTGTGGAAAGGCGATGCCGAGCCGTGCAGCCAATGCCATCACATCCAAAGGACGCGTCTCCACCTCCGTCTGGTCCATGGTCTCCGCTTCTTCCATAATTGGCGACGGAGTAGATCCAACACCGGAACTCTAAAAATGACGAGATTTTCGCCGGATTGAAGCTTAAGAAGTTAATCAAATCTTATGCAGCATGCTTCGATTCGTTTCGAGATGACGTTACTTTTTCGGCCTGTCTCTTGCAGGAAGAGCAATAATTGCTAAGCGGCGAGCAATGCCTTGCTTTAGGGAATCGTAGTTGATTTCTAGCTAACTATTGGAAATGTGCTGAGGATGCAACCCGTTTCGACACACTTCAGAAAATGCAATCTAAAATAGCCGCGGAAAGATGAACTGTACTGGCTCCACTCATGGACTTTTCGTTGGTCGAGGTCTCACTATGCCTTTTCTTTGTTTTCTCTTGGCTATCTAGCGCACGAATATATCTCATAGCAACTTTGGGGAATCCCGGGCTGAAATAGTTGGAAACAGCCAAAAAGTATATCTTCCAGGAAATGGCTGGCATCACTTCGCAGGGGCGCGTTGGTCTTATATGTATTTTCGCTTCAAAAAGGAGTAGTTACGGTCGCTACGGGCTATCTTTTCGAGAAATAATCGCTGGCTTCAACTCTCAATTGTTGGTCAACTCTTGACTATCTTTACATACCGTGGCTTCTTCGGTGCCTGCCTGGCCAGGAGTGTGCGGTTGGCTGCCGGTGGCCGGACCGGCTACAGCAGTCGTTTGTTCGTTAGCTTCTTGAGAACGTCGCCGCAGCTCTTTTCGCTTGTTGGCGAACCAGTTGGCGACTACCTGAGGAGAGACAACTTCCTTCGGCATCAGACCGACTCCTGAAAAAGAATTAGTCATTTTTGGCCTGGAATTCCTTTTGGATAGTCGATTTTTAATAGAACCTGGTGCTGTGTAATTATGGCTTGATATAGTTTAACAATAATGTTGTAGTGATCTG